GGGCGGCGCTGATGTGAAACAGAAGGTTAAAGGTTGCGGAAAAGTCTTGAACTCTGGATGCACCAAGGAAAGATTCCCGAGGACGCCATAAAAACTATGGAGCAGTTCATTGGGAGTGAGAATTTAATCTAAGCAATGACAGAAAATTACCACAAAACACAAGGGATGATGGGTAGAAGCACAGGGACGAAATAAGTCATGGTTGGAAAACCGAGCGGAAGAAAATGAAGCGTTCTTCACGGGTCAGACAGTTTTAAAAAACACAGAGTTCAAGCTGAAGTTGCCTGGAGATTCGTTTCAGAATCACTTCGACAAATAAAAGATGCACAAAACAAACAACAACAACAACAACAACAACAGAGGGAAATAAAAACAGAAACTTGGTTAAATGTTCATTTTACACTCATTTCACGTGGAAATGTGAAATGACGGCTCAGGGTTCAAGTTCGTCAATCTTCCACTCCTCTTCCTCGCTCCGGGCCGGACGCTCCTCTGCCTTTGTGTATGCATGCGTGCACGTGCTCAGTGAGTCTCGACCCGAGCGCAGCGGCTCGCATCACATCAGCAGCTCAATGCTCAGGCTGAGCGGAAGGATACGAGGAAACGCCGCGCTGCACAGAGGCTGAACTCTGCTCTGTTGTTCCGGCAGTTAATGTGAACAGATAACATATGGATGGTTTAGATTTTATTAAAGCCTCAACAGTCGTGGTTTAAAAAGCAAAGTTTGGACCAGATACAGAATCTTCACTGTCCCATCAAAGTTTGTCCTCAGAGTGGAGATTAAGCAAAAGTTAAAAGTTCAAATCAAAAGGGTTCATCCTCTTCAGAGCAGAAGATGAATTTGAACAGGGTAGTGTTGTCTTAAATCAATCAGGGCCGTTACCACTCAACACAAATGATAATGACAACATGTGACCACGATTGTCGCCCACGAAAACGAATCTGAAATACCAGATTATTGGCAACATCACTGGTTCTCCCTTTGAGTAAAGTGGTAGTTAATCTGACTAATTAGATTAAAACCTGTTGAAATCCTTTTTTTTGTTGTTGTTGTTTTGTTGTTTCTTTTGTCGCTCGTCTTCCGGCTGCTTTTCTCACTTGACTTGAAAATGAATATTTTAGTTTCCTGTGCCTCCTTCCTCGGTCGCCGTTTTCACAAGTTAGAAAATAAGTCGGTTCCTCTCCTTCCGCTACGTAGCCAAGATGACGACCGTTGAGAGTGGGAAGTGTCCGCTTGTCAATGTGAACTCCCAGCCAATCTGAAAACGGTTAAAGAGGAGGGGCTTGTGCGGAGCTGAGACTTCGGTTTGTGTCGAGCATTCTGCAGCAGTTTGTACTTCAGGTCACACTGAGCTCCTCATCATTACTGTGCAGCAGTTATCACTTCCTGTTCCCTCGTCATGAAGTCATTGGGTTTTGTGTTTTTGGTTGATGACTGAAATCAGGTCTGTGTTTAACTCAAGCTCAAGACGTTTTCACATTTTATTCTACAACATAAAACACGTCAGTAAATACTCCGGTCCTGATTTCTTGAAGCTTTTACGTCTCGGTTGCTAACGAGTGTCTGAATGAGACTACAGAGGTTGTCGGGGATGATAACTCACCAGTCCACCTTCAGAGCCTCGTTAACTCAGCAGTCCACCTTTAGAGCCTCTCTGTGTGTTTATACAAACTGTCACTAACTCTGTCAGAGAGGAATCAAACTACAAGCTGAAGTTTAGTGGTGTTGATGTTGACGTCATGTGACCCTGGTGTAGTTGGTTTATAGTCCAACATTAGCTTTTTACTTCTGATTGTAATGAGGCTTCAAACATCAAACAGTGATGTTCATTAGTGAAGATGATCCTGCTGAACTAAACCTCAGGATCAGAAACTGTTGTTATTTTCTCTAATAATCCAAAACACAACGTAGAAATCCTATTGGCTGTTTGTGGAGGGAACCGGGGTGAAGCTAACTTCAGGGTTGTTCACAAACACACTCATCACGCCTGCAGCTCTGTGTGATTCTTTGCTAATTGACTGATGTCATTTGTCTTTTTGATTTTCTTTCCATTCGTCAGGAAACAGTGAATCACGTCCCACAAGTGAAACTCTGCACAGCTTCCCGCCGCTCCACCCTCTGTCTCCGTCACCGTCAGTTTTTGAGAGTTTAGTTCTGAAACACAGCGGCTCATTTCACAGAGAATCTGACGCCTCACCTTCTCTGCCGTCGCTCAGTTCAAACGTGATCACAGCTGCCGTCGTTAACTCTGCTGCTTTCGTTGATTTTTGTCTGAATGCTGGCAAACATGGCCGTCTGTGTGCAAGCCGCTCGGTCGTCCGACAACAGCAACAGAACAAATATACTGTGGACGACACTGATGACGGGCGTCATCACACAGCTGGCGTGTCTCTGCTCAGACTACACACTGTATCTGAACACAGCATTCATTAAATGTCATTATTCTGGTGTCAGTGACCCTTCATCAGCCTGGAGGAAACACGCCGCCCAGCTGACTGACTGACTCCTCCCCCTCCTGGATGTTTGTTTCCACACGTGTGCTGACCGCCGGGCGCCGCGCGGCCTCAAACGTGTTGATGTTCATCATGATAATGGGACAGATTTGATTTCACTTTCATGACGCGGCCCACAGCGCAGCATATGTAAAGCAACAGACAGAAATAGACGTGATTATTCGGGATTTTACGAGACTGAAAAGCAGCAGTGCAGAAGAAGAAGAAGAAGTAGACGAGAGAAGCGCTGAGCTGCGAAACTCCTTCTTCTCCTTCATCACCTCCTCTTCCTCCTCCTCTTTTAACCCTAAGCTTTAAGGTCATTTCTCTCTCTTTGTTTACAAGCTTTAATAGATAATGTGGGGGAATGGAAACAGGAAGTACGACGACTTTCACTGAATCACTGAGACACTGAATAAAACTTCAAAAGCCGATTTATTGATATTTATTCGCGATGGACTTTGGAGATCCTGATGTCGGCAGAAAGTAAAAGTGACACTGAGTCTGGAAATATATTTATCGTGTGAGTGTGTGTGTGTGTGTGTGTCTGTGTGTGTCTGTGTGTGTGTGCAGATCTGACTGAGTTGTGACTTAGAGAAGAAGGATTGTGATTATTTTTAACTGGTGGTGAAGGGTTAAAGATCAATCTGTTTCTTTTCTCTTCTTTTATTCATACGCACTTTCTCCCTCCTTTTCCTCTATTTTCTCCTCTTCTTTCTCTCCATTGCTCTTTCTCTTCTTCCTCCATCTCTCCTCCCCTTACTCCCCCCTTCTCCTTCTCCTTTATTTATCTTTTGTTCTTCCATTTTCTCCCGTCTTTCTCGCTCATTTCTCCTCATTTCCTTTACTCCCTTGTCTCTTCCTCATCTGTCCTTTCTACCCTCTTTTCCTCATCTCCTCTCTCCTTCCTCCCTCTCCTCCTCTCCTTGTCTCCTCACCCTCTCTCCTACTCTCAGTTTGTTGACAGATGATATAAAAAGGCAGAAACAGAGGCAGACACTGTTGTGTTTTTACCTCCTCCTCCTCCTCCTCCTCTGTCTCCTCCTCGTCCCTTCTTCTTCCTCCTTGGTCTCTCTGAAGAGACGTCTCCTCTCTTGTTCGGGCCGTTGTCTCCTCCGTTGCCAAAACAACAGCGAGTGCAGACGCACCTTCAAACCGAACAAATCCCTCCTCAGAACCAGACGACATGAAAAAACAAAAAGACATAAAGAAAGAGGAAAAGCGTCGACTGGTAGATATGTGTGTGTGTGTGTGTGTGTGTGTGTGTGTGTGTGTGTGTGTGTGTGTGTATTTTTGACTGTGGCCCGCTCTGTGGATGTCGACGTGTGATCTTCTGAAAGTTTTGTTGTTTTATTTTGGAGGAACTGCTTGTTTTCCTCTCTTCCTCCCTGTCACTGCGGCGCTCTTGTCTTCCCGAGCAGCGGGGCGGAAGATGAAAGACGGGGGGGAAAAACACGACGGCTGTTGTACAGAAATGTCACCTCGTCCCCTTTGACTGAGAGCGGCTCGGCTTTCATGCCACAGTCTGAGCGAGCGAGCGGAGCTAGCTTATAGCTAACGAGCCGCGTGCCACAAAGCGGACGACAATAGCAAGCGGCTACAGCGGAAGCTAACGAAATGATACTCAACACATACATTTTGTAAAGCAGTCTTAAAAGAAACATGTTGATGCACAAGATATTGGCTCAAAATGACAATTTAAAAGCAGATTTTAGTGCTAACATCATCAACTGCTATCCAGCTAACGTTAGCAATAGCGTTTCCAATGTTCCCATTTATGTAAAAGATGCTAGCAGTTACCAACACTGTTTTTTGTTGTATAGCTGGAGCACAAATATTTATAATTTGTTCCCTCTAATTAATAATTTGTGCTAATGAAATTAAATTTTTCCATTAATCAACATGTAAACACAGCAGCAGGTGAAGGAAGTGGAACATGTAGCAGGAGCTGTTGGAGACCAAAGAGCTAAAAGCTAAAAACGTTCATCAGGTCGATTCCAAACACGAATCCAGGTGCTATAGTCACACGTCAAGGTCATACGTGTCATCTTCATCTTCTTTGATCTACACATGAAGTCTCGTCATGGTCCGCTGCAGTTTAAAGGTTCTGGGATAAAGGAACAACAGTGTCATGTGATCAATAATCAAACACCTCGGCTGAGTTAAGCTTGAGATCCGACTAAGAACAACTTTATTAACAGAGATTCATTTCTTTAACGTTCCCCATGACGTGGATCTATAGGTGTGATTACCTCTGTCACACCTGTTAAAACGGTCACATGATCAATACCAGGTGGAGGTGGACTGGTGTTTCAGTGGTGGTTTCATTTAAAACTAAGGCACAGCTTCCTCCCAGCTGCTCACTTTATAGGTTTGTTTTGTTTATTTTAGGTTTTTGTGTAAATGTTTAAATCTTTTTCAGCAGCTTTACGAACTATAATAAACATATTTTATTTTATATTAATGTGATATAACAGCCGTCCTTCCTCTCCTCCCTCCTCCTCCAGGTGATGAGTGGTACCTGTGCAGGCTCACTCTGAGCATGCCCAGTCAGGCCAACCTGCAGTGGGCCATGTCTCCCTCACCTTACCTGGGCTCTGTGGGTCCTGATGCCACACCTGGCTCTGTGGTGTACCGACTGTCGGCACGGCAACGAGACGGGACGCAGGAACAGACACAGTTCCTCCTACTGGACGGTGAGTCTTTTTATTTTATTTTATTTTATTTTATCTTATTGCATATTTGCTATGTGGCCAAAAGTATGTGGACAACTCTGTCCCTTGGTCCGGGTCTGTTCCAGTGAAGAGAAATCTTTGTGCTGCAGGAAACAGTAAAACTTTAGACCAGTGGTTCTCAAACTTTATAACATCACGGACCCTCATCTGATAAGATGTTTACAACACGATGCTTTGTTAGGAAACACATATTTTACCACCTATTGGACAGATTTCAATCATTTTGCAATTTAATTCTGTTTTAAATTCAAAAATCTCAGTCAATTACAAATTATTTTGAATAATTCAAATATATGATTGTTCTGTTTCAGCAGGACTTTTAATTTGTAAAATGAAGGTAAACTGTTAAAATTTTCACAGGTCAAATTTTTTTTACAGTGTACTAAATTTCACTTTCTAAAATATGTTGTTTAAAATTTTGATTTGACACCTGTAGGTCATTAATAAGGGAAAAAAGTGGGTGAATTTATTGTGAAAATAAACAAAAAACAAAACATTTTCTTGCCTGAAATGTCAGCCATCTTGGAAATGTCAGCCATCTTGAATTTTTGAGTGCCTAATGTATTTTATCAAAAGGAGTTTAGTACTTGTATCCAGATTTGAAAGATTTCCCCTGAAATACGCAGGTTTCTGCTGCGCTAAATGTTAGCATGTCCACATACTTTTGGCCACGTAATGCACATATAAAGGTTCTCTAGAGCACAGTTCTCCTCGCTCTTCAAATACAACCAATATGATGTAGTTTAAGAATAAAATAATCCGTTTTTAAAATCCATATTTTCGGATCCTCGCTCACCTTTCTTCTCGTAGTTGCAGAACGTGTAAGAATTTGTCTCGTGACACGAAGCGAAGCTGCTTCCTCCACGTGTTACTCGCCTAAAAAACCTGTCATGTCTTTGCTCCGGCTCTTATCTGCTGCCTGTATCTGTAATTAGGTCCGCTGCCGCTCCGCCAGGCATTCTGTGACAAACCTATTTTGTTCAAAGGAGCGATTTATAAATAAAATTTGACTTGTTGAATTTCAATTACCGTCAAGTTGGAGAGGGAGAGAAAAATGCACATAAACGGCATGGAGCTGCACTGTTAATCGCTCCCTGGGGCAAAGAAAGCTCCCAGAGTCGGGAATAATAGGAAAGTCTCTGGAGAGGCAGAGAGTGGGAGGGTGGGCGGATGGGTGCCGGTGGCTGTGGATTTTTTATTTTTTTATTTTTTATTTTTTTCAGCGGAGGAGAGAAGGAGGAGAGAAGGAGGAGGAAGGAGCAGGAGAGATATTTTGAGAGCTAATTTCTAATGCTTTCACATTAAGAGCCTCTGACTTCCCTTTGGCGTAATGTGACTACACGTGTACCGTCAAATAATCCAATAATTTACATTAAAAGTGGTTTTTAATATCATGCCAATATGGAAATATATTCACACAGTGTGTGTGTGAAGCCAATTAACGTGACTTCACTCAGTTTGTGGATCTGAGATTTACAGTTTTATAGTGGAGGGCTGATGATGATTGATGATTTTAAACAGTTTCATTTCTACCAGCGTCTCTATTGTTTTCTATTATAATAATTCACATCTATTAATGAAGGGAGCAAAATTCTGAATTCTACTTTTTACAGCGGAGTCGACATTTTAATGTTTCCTGCTGAGTCTTTCTAAAGGTTGAATGTAACAGTGGTTTCATTAAACATATTCTCTAGATAATAATATAATAATCACTATATGTTCTTTTAGTATTTCAATTAAATAATGTGATGTAATAAGTAATAACGACGTAACGAAGAGCTAAAAAAATGATTAATTTTACAAAGTGAATTAAAAAGTGTAGTTTGATTTTAAATTGTTTTTCTTTATGGTGAATTCCAACAGTTAAAATATAAACACATCTGAACAACTGAACAGCTCTCCACACTTTGTCCTGTCGTCTGTTCGTCTCTCTGACGGACGCTGTGATTGGCTGAGTGGATTTAAATGTGATAAAGTTGGTGTTGAAAAAAGAATCGTGAAGAATCAGTGTTGAAGTCAAGGTATCGGGATCAATACTGATATCACCGATAAGAAACCCCGCCCTAAAAACTTCTCAACGCTTCTTAAAATAATCTTTGTGACATTCATGGTCCCCAGAGGACGAACCCTAATGATTCTGATGATAACAAATGTCTTAAAAAACAAAAGATGATCATAATAATTGGTAATAATAATTGGTTTCGTGTTCTGTTGATCAATTAATCAACAAATTTTAGGTCTGAAACTAACAATTAATGTCATTATTGATTAATCTGCTAGTTATTTTCTTGAATAATCGATCAGTCATTCATGGTCCCCAGAGGCCGAACGATACTCAGCCCTAAAAGTAAGTGTTAATAAAGATTTGAAGGTGTTTCTCAGTATGAAAGTATTAACAAATTGAACATATCGATGTGACTAAGAATCGGTTGGTTAGAGAGTTTGATTAATCGCCCCACCCTCGTCTTGAATTATTGATTACTGCTCTCACTAGAGCCCCATGTACAATCCTCATTAGGGTTTCAGCAAAAAGTCAGTTTGAAGTTAAAGTTAGTTCAACAAAATTTTATTTCCTCACATCAGGATGTTGCTGCAGGTCCTTGAACGTAGCACGGGGTGCAGGAAACAGATTTTACTGAATATCACATTATTTTAGGTTTTTATCTTTGTATTGAAACAGAACGTGTCTGTGAGGATTCTCCATCTTTCTGCTCGTTCTTTTCAAAATAAAAACAGTTTAATGAAAAACTAAATAAATGTGTGTCATTTGTAAATGAACCTGCAGAAACAGGAAGTCAGTCAGAGACTCGGATGAAAAATGTCTCCACAAATAGACGGAGTGGGACGAGGTGATTGACGGGCTGGATGCAGCTGCTGCTGGTTCAAGACCCTCTGGTCAACAGCTGTGGATTCTTCTCCTCCTTTATCCCTCTTTTCTATCTTCTACACCTCTTTCTACATCTTCCATTTTTACTCCCCCTCCCCCCTCCCCCCCCCGTTCATCCCTCCCTCCCTCTCTCTCGCTTCACCCAGGGGGGACGTGGGTAAAAAAAAAAAGAAAAATTTAACCCGCACTTTTCCTCTGAGTCTTCAAAGAGTGTGTTAACCAGCTCACACACACACACACACACACACACACACACACACACACATGTTGCTCCAGCTGGCAGAAGGGTCCTCAGCAGCTTCACTTTCAACACACGCACACACATAAATAAACACACACACACACACTCTCATGCACACACACACACACATAAATATACACACACACACACACACACACACACAGCAGCCCTCCAGCCTCTGGACAGCTGTGGCTGTTTAAACGTCTCCACGACACATTTTGAATCTGAACTTCACACCGTAACGTCCGTGTTTCATGTTTTATGAAACAGCGAGACTCATCTCAGTCTTTATTCACGACTTTCAGCAGCTTCTCGTCAGATTTCATGTGTCACTTTGAGCCGAGGTTTGTCTCAGGTTACAGAGACTCTGTCAGAGGTTAACTTCAGTTCTTCTGGTTGAATTGAACGTTTTATTTTTGACAAAGCTGAAAGACCGACTTATATCTTCATTCATTTCCCTTCAGGTTTAACTTCTGTAAGTGACACTTTTATAAGATATGGAGCTGCCGTTGTGCAAGTAGCCATTAACGTTACCACGCATATCATCACATGAAAGTATCCATGAAGCAATATGGTCATGGATGTGTTGGGAAAAGTCATGTGACTAAAGGCAGCTACAAACCAGCAGGTGAAACCTAAATGACTCGTCAGGACTCATTCTGCTCCAGTGATTAAATTAAAGAGTAACAGAGATAATGATGATTAAAACTCACAGATTAAAGACATAACGTGTATCTGAAGTATCTCTCTCTCTCTCTCTCTCTCTCTCTCTCTCGGACCAACCAGGTGGGGACGAGTGCTTCGAGGTAGACCGTCGTTCCGGCGAGATCCAGACCACAGGTCGACCTCTGACCCCGAGTAGGGAGTACCTGCTGCGGGTGCAGGCAGTGGACGGACGCGGGCGTAAAGGCCCCCCGGCCACAGTGGCCATCCTGGCCGGTTACCGCCCGCCGCAGTTCACCAATGCCACCTACAGCCTGAACGTGGCGGAGAACACACCTGTCGGCCAACCGTGAGTCAGACGTCTTAACTGACCTTAAGTGACCTTAAGTCATTCCTTCAGTGTAAGACAAGGATCAGGAGGAAACCTTAAATACTTAAGGGAACATATTAAGGAAAACTTAACTTAAGGTGTGTTGTGCAGCTGACAGGGTTGTGTAGTGTTAGTAGTGTGTGTAGTAGTGTGTGTAGTATTGCAGTATTGTTAGTGTCAGTATTAGATTCTCAGCTGTGTGTGTGTTTGTGTCTTTGTCCTCCATGTTTACAGAAACATCATTTACATTCCACTGCCTCAGAAACTGAGTGTAGAAATGGCATCTGTGTGTGTGTGTGTGTGTGTGTGTGTGTGTGTGTGTGTGTGTGTGTTTCTCCACGGTCAGCTCTTTGCTCTGCGTGTCATGTGATGCATGAAAAGATGAACCCTGTAGAGCGAGACAAAAGAGAAGGAGAAGGAGGGAGAGGTGGAGGAGGAGGGGACGATAGAGGGAGGGATGATGAAGAGGAGGAGGAGGAGGAGAGGGAAAGGGATGGAGGGATGAAGAGAGATGGAGGAGGAGGAGAAGAAGAAGAGGGGGATGGATGAAGAGGACCCAGATGTATGTGTGTGGCCTGAGGCTGAGAATTTGAAAGTGTGGCAAATTCAAATATTTATTAAAAGCGAGGTCTGGATAAACATGAAGGGGAGTGTGTGTGTGTGTGTGTGTGTGTGTGTAAGTGAATCCCTCAGGGCTGCTGGCGCAAAGCACATTGTATTAATATCCAAGTATCCATGCCACCCTGTGAGCAGAGTGTGTGTGTGTGTGTGTGTGTGTGTATTCCTACATGTGTTTCATTTGTGTCTCTGCTTCCATTATGTCCCTTTTATGTCCTCACGTGTGTCCCTGTGTGTGTCCCTGTGTGTGTCCCTGTGTGTGTGTGTGTGTGTGTGTGTGTGTGTTTCAGTCAAATTGATTAGGCAGGTTGTTTTCGGTCTCTGAGTGCAGAATAATCCGTGAAGGCTGCGGACATTAAACGCGGCGCTGGACCTCGACCAGCACGCCGCGTGTTTGGAAACGGAGACGTGGAGCGGCGTTCTGACATGTGGTCATTTCCTCCTCTGGAGTCTTCCTCCGCCTCGTCTCTTCTCGTCCTGTTAAATATAATGACACCACTTCACAATAAGACTTCCCTTATAAAGGATTTATAAATGGTTTATAATCAGGTTATTAATTCTGTTGTTAGCGCTTTATAAATCGTTAATAAACAATTATAAACACTCACGTTTTTTTGCCGCCGACACCGATCAGGGAATTTGTATTTGTACATTGATGTTTATGTTTTGACACTTGAAATTTCAATAAGAAAATTGTTTTATTAGTCAGATTAATGAGTAGTAAGTATCAACTTGATCTTGCCAAATAGTGAGCTGCATCAATGCATGAAAACTGTTATAACTTGTTTATAATTGTTTATTTATATGTAAAGTGTTAACAACCAAATTAATAACCTCATAATAAACCATTTATAAATCCTTTATAAGGGAAGTCTTATTGTGAAATGGTGCCAATATAATGTCTCACAGCCCAAATTCAACGTCTGCGTTCAGACAGATGCTCCAGATGTGCAGAAGTTCAGATTTAGAACATGTGGTTGACTTTTCAAAATAATGTCCACTTCACATTTTGCAGAGCTGAGAGAGTCTCCAGCGTTATCGCCTCATATCAAACTGCCCTTTGGTATTTTACTGATCTTAATTATGACGAGGAAACTCTGCTGTGAAATGTCTGACTTGGCGTTTAGTGCTGCAGAAGTGCTTACCAGGCAGACTTTATATAGATGTCTCACGCCAGCCGAAGCCCATTATTCAAGGTAATTAAACCCAAACTTAATGAAGACAGAGCGACAGTATTTTAGGAATCCACAGGACTTTCATCCTCGCTCGAAACTCCGTCACCGCGTCATGTCTCTTATACGTAGAGGGATCTGAACCATCTCCGCCCGCCAGTGAATATGATGCGAGCACGGCTCTTAGATAAGAACATGGAGATCAGTTTCATCTGTGTTCACCGAGGCAGCATCCGTCCCCAGGGGCCGCATCCTTCGGAGGATGTGGCGTTACAAGGGTGTGACCCTTCGTGGCTTTACGAGGGTGTGACCCTTCGTAGACCGCAAAGGTCGAACTGAGATGAGACGGTCTGGTCCACGGAGGCTGTGTCCCACAACATCGGTGGCACGACTAGACCGTCCCATTTCGAAGGCTCCTTCAAATGCGTCCTTCTTTTCCTGCTTTCCTTTGTGGCTCAACATATCCCAAGATTCATTGCGGCGCCGGTAATGATAGCAAACAGCAGAACACCTGACAGAGAGTCTGAGGATCACACTGTGTAATCTAAGTGTTGTGTTTCGGGTCGGTTCAACAGCTGAACGGTACAACTGTTAAAACCAAGTTTTTGTAAAAAAAAAAACAAAAAACAACGTATTGTCAAGGTTGCTAGGCGACAGGAGCGGCGCTTTGTGAGGCAGCGGTAGCGGTAACGGCCTCCGTTGATCAGACCGTCTCATTTCAGTTCGGCTGCGACAGGGCCACACCGTCGTCCTCCGAAAGATGCGGCTACCGTTTCATCACAAAGTGTCGTTCCTGTTGCCTAGCAACCTTGACAACACATAACTTTATTTTCTCACAAAAAGCTTGAGGTTTTTAAGCTCCTCGGTTTTAACAGTTGTAACGTCAAACACTTGCATTCAACAGTGTGAATCTCAGACTCTCTGTTGGTGTCGTTTGCTTCCATTACGGGTGTGCAATGAATCCTGGGATATGATGAGGCGGTGCCCCCACAAAATAGAGTTTGTGCATGTGGAGGTGAGCATGGTCTTTAAACCAGCTGATTCCCTGCAGAGAAAACGCCACAAAAAGCATCAGAACTTGGAGTGAAGGTCGCAGCTCGGAGGTTGTTGTTGTGGTTTCTGGTAGCAACAGTCAGGGGAGGGGGAGAGAGAGAGAGAGGTCGAGGATGTATTTAGCCTAGCTTAGCATAAAGACTTGAAGCAGAAATGAGGAAGAATAAACCGTCCAGCTCCTCAGATTCACCTGTCCGTGTGTGTGTAGAGACAGAAATGTAAGAACGGAGACATTGTGGTTTTAGCATCAGACTCTGACCCGCTGTGTTCCCGTGCAGTGTCGCGGCGGTCCAGGCCGTCTCCTTCCAGAAGAAGAGCCTGTCCTACATGCTGCTGGTGAATCCCGGGAACCTGTTCAGCATCAACCAGGAGAGCGGCGCGCTCAGCCTCACCCGGACCGTCGACTACGAGAGCGGACACAACCTCCACACCCTGCAGGTCCGAACCTCCGAACCCGACACGGGCCTCAGCAGCGTGGCAGAGGTGAGATCACACACACACACACACACACACACACACACTCCTCTGCTCACTCTGGAGTCTCACTTTAGGCGCTTATTAAACATTTATCTGCTACTTCACTCATATATTGATCTGGTGTTTATGAACCTCAGTGTGGTGAACACATTCACATCCATCACATCAGTCAAAGTTTGTTTGCAGAGATTTGGAGACTTTCTAAAAACCGGGCTTCAGTTTTTCAGAGGCGTCATGACGGAAGGAGCTGAGGTAGTTCCTGACACTGTGACATAAACACCGGGGCGTCATGTGATATCAACATTTCAAAAGGTGAATTTAAGAAATGATGTAGAAATGGAGAAAGTGCCCTCAGAGCTCAGAAGGTAATTAACAGCCGCACACGCTGATGGTCGAAGGCGGCGTTGACCCTCGACTATTGAACGCGCCGCTCTCTGATGAAAACTCATTATGAGTTGAGAGGGAGTGCAGCCTCGAAATCAGACGCCGTGATGCAACTGTTTCGTTCACTGTATAATCTGTTTATGTGCTCATTATGCATGCGTAAAAAAAAACTGAGCACGCGGCGTCTTTCACCCGGCGTCCTGTGAAGCCGCTCATGATGAAATCTCTGCGCTCCCTGACCTCAGTGATCGCGTCTGATCAGGTTGTGATCAGCAGTTTTGGCTCAGTTTGTTACGGGGTTTACAGCATCATGGATTAACACACACACACACACACACACACACACACACACACACACACAGTGCTAAGTGCAGAAACCTTGCAGCTAAGTACTGACTCCTATTCTCACAGTAAGCTCTGAAGACCTCATACAGCAGATAGCTACATCTGTTCACACACACACACACACACCCACACACACACACACACCCACACACACACACACACACACACACACCTAGAGAAATCCATTATCACCTGCTCTCAGTGTCCAGATGGTTGAGACAGAGAATAGTTGCTAAACTACCAGCATCCCCCAAAGGTCTCTGCTGCTCTATAAGCTCGGCTGGCTAATTCACTCTAAAGGCCCTGTGTGTGTGTGTGTGTGTGTGTGTGTGTGTGTGTGTGTGTGTGTGTGTGTGTGTGTGTGTGTGTGTGTGTGTGTGTGTGTGCCAGGTGTGTGGAAAGCCTCCTCAGCACTGCTGATATTACATGTTACTGTAGCTTCTGCAGTTTCTGTTGCCTTCAGCTTCTAAAGACATTTCCAGTCCGTCAGCACGAACTCGTTCGTCTCCGTCATTACAGCTTCATACTTCATACTTACATCCGTCAGCCTGACAGCCTCCGTCTGCAAATTACTCACTTTATTGCCCCAAAAAAAGCTCAAACGTTTCAAAATAAAAGCCTCAGTCACGACAGGGAGTTGCATTGCCTGAGAATTCACCTGAGAGTTTTCTGTCGTTAACCAAATTTTAAATCAATGACATCAATCTGTCTGTATTTATATTAGTGTGACAGTTTAACAGAGGATCCACCGAGCATTCGTCATGACAACGAGTTTGTTCAACATTACAGCCTCAGGGAATTTAAACTGTAAACCAACTGAATGTTCTTTGTCCATCGAGCCGTCACACACCGATTTCCCACTGGTCAAAAAACCCTCTAAGACCCGCCTTTTTCTTAGCGGGTTCACCTGCGTTTAAAATAACCTGCATGTAGCCACTAACTCTGGTGACGGAGGTCGAGCAGCTGAAGAGTCAGGAGAGTGCAGAGACCAAAAACTGCTAAAACAGAGTTTTACGTTTCTGTTTTTCTATAGAAAGAAAATACTGGTCAGATTTTAGTCTGAACTAAATGTTTGCTGTGAATATATAGTTTAATGTTACTGTGGAGAGAAGAGGTTATTTAAGAGAAGATCAAATACTCATTTATTAGTCTCATAGTGGGGAAATAGGTTTATTATAGTTTAGATTAGTAGTAGTTATAGTTTAGTTCAATTCAGTGTTTTGGTTTATTAAATACAAGCTAACCTATATTAGCCGTTAGCTGAGCGGCAAAACTAAATCTTTATTGTCTTACTTTATCAACACATAAACAAATCTGTTTACATTAGTAAATAAAAAACAAATATGACTGATTCAGCCCCCCCGTGGTCGGCAGTACATGAAATACACGAAGCCTCCTTTTCTTCACATGAAGTCACATCTGGGAAATCTTTGCTGAAAATTGAAGAAATCAGAGAAATCAGTAAACAGCTCGACTCTTTCCTTCAGCAGTAAAATAACTTGTTGTTTTGCTTCTGTCTTTGGATTCGTATCAGTCCTGTGAATTCAGAGCGGCGTCTCCTG